CCCCCCCCACGGGTCCTGCTCTGTGTGTGACAGGGTAGAGCCATAACCTCCCCATCAGCCCTGCCCTGAGTGTGACGGGGGCGGTGCCCCAACCCCCCTATCGGCCTTACTCTATGCGTGATGGGGGGAGCTCCCCAACCCCCTGATGGGCCCTGCTCTGTGAGTGACAGTGGGGAGCTTGAAACCCCCCTGATGGGCCCTGCTCTGTGTGTGACAGGGAGCAGCCCCCCAACCCCCGGATTGGCCCTGCTCTGTGCATCACAGGGGGCGGCGCCCCAACTCCCCAATCGGCCCTACTCTGAGCCCGACCAGGGGCTGCACCTAGGGATTGGGCCTGCCCTCTGCCACCCGGGAGCAGGCCTAAGCCAGCAGGGCGTTATCTCCCGAGGGGTCCCAGACTGCAAGAGGGCACAGGCCGGGCTGAGGGACCCACCCTTCCCCCCGAGTGCACTGGGTCTCTAGTCCTATATAATAAAAGGCTAATATGCAAATTGACCAAATGTCAGAATGACTGGTTGCTATGATGCGACTGACCACCAGGGGGCTGGCACTCAATGCAGAAGCTGCCCCCTGGTGGTCAGTGCGCTCCCACAGGGGTATTGGCACTTAGCCAGAAACTGGGCTCATGGCTGGCAAGCACAGTGGTGATGACGAGAGCCTCTCCCACCTCCAGGGCAATGCTAAGGATATCCGACTGACGGCTCTTGGACTATGATAGGGTGCAGTCTGGGCTGAGGGACCTCCCTGAATGTACGAATTTCATGCATCGGGCCTCTAGTATATGTATAAACACTAAAAGATAAATTCTAAATGTGACTCCAAAAGTACTTCTAATATTACAAATCACTGTAAAATTCAGACATTCTTTGAGAAAGATTTTTTTCTCAAAATTTTGTTTTAAAAGTTAGAAAAATTGTGTTTTCATAAGATTAGAATAATATGGTAACTTTAATTTTATTTATCTTTATTATTGAAAGTATACAGATGTCTTGTTTTTCCCCATTGACCCCTTCTAGCTTACTCCCATACCTCCATACCCCTGCCCCAGGCCTTACCACCCTATTGTCTGTGTCCATGGGTTATGCATATCTATCTATATAAAGCCCTAATATGCAAATTGACCAAACAGCAGAATGACCTGCAGAACTACCGATTGGTGGGGGGAGGGGCTGAAGAATAGGCAGTGCCAGGCTGCCAGCCAAATTGGGTGCCAGTGGGGGCCACCTGATCACCCTGCTGGTTGCCTCACAGATAAGCCCTGATCGCTGGCCAGGCCTAGGGACCCTACCCTATATATTGTGAATAGTCTCTTAGATTTAAAAATTAAAACCTGGCAAGGCTACTCTAACACTGAAAAAACAGGATGATGCAGCGATGACATGCATAGACTCTGGCTTACACATTTTGTGGTCAGCCCTGATTCTGACACTTATAACTGTGTGACAAAACCAATTCCTTAACTCTGCTTCAGTTTTTTGACCCATAAGATGGGAGAAATGGTACTATTGCCTCAGAAGGATCATGATATTATGTACTACTTTTTATAATCACAGCAAAAAATGTAGCTGCCCATACAACAGCAAGATGCCTTTCACCTGTATGAAAAGTTTGGTCACTGGTACATGCAGTGTCCCGGATTGTGAGAGACATCCCGGTAGAAGTAGTAGGGAATGTCCTTCGTGCTGTCCATGCCCCGGGCCTTGATGGCCTCAGGAAAGCACAGGGAGGTTCCCCCTGGTGGTCAGTGCTCTCCCACAGCCAACCTCCTGCAGCCCCTCCCCCCAGCCGGCCGGCCCCCATCAGCCCCTGGTGCTAAACCATTCATAGAGACCTGCTTCTGGGTTTTGGTTTCAGACCTAGCAGAGCAACTCCCTCACTGCAATCTATTGAAAGTCAGACCTTGACACAAGGGTTGCCTCACTCCCACTCCTGTCTTGTCCCATCCCTGAGGGCCTCCCGCCCATTCCCGTGGTGGCCAGGGAAGAAGGGGGTGGGGGGAGGCAGGGAACTGCACGGTTCCTTCTGCACCCAGCCCAGAGACAGTTGCCTCTTCTCCCAACACTGGGGGTGGGTGGCAGTGGACACGGCCCCTTCCCCAAGGGGGTTGAGGGCTGGCAGCCAACCTCCTGCGATCCCTTCCCCCACCTCTCATGTGCATGAATTTGTGCATCAGGCAACTAGTATGCATATAAGTTCTTTGGTTAATCTCTTCCCCCCCAACCCTCACCTTCCCGCTGGGATTTATCAGTCTGTTCCATGTTTCTATGTCTCTGGATCTATTTTGTTCATCAGGTTATTTTATTCTTTAGATTCCACATATGAATGAGATCATGTGATCCTTTCTTTCTCTGACTGGCTTATTTTGCTTAGCCTAATACTCTCCAGGTCCCTCCATGCTATCGCAAAGGGCAAGAGATCCTTCTTCTTTGTTGCTGCATAGTATCCCCTGGTGCAAATATATTGCAGCTTCTTTATCCACTCATCTACTGATGGGCACTTGGGTTGTTTCCAGATCTTAGCTATTGTAAATTGTGCTGTAATGAACATAGGAGTGTATATATTCTAATTGGTGTTTCAGGTTTCTTAGGTTATTTTCCTAGAAGTGGTATCACTGGGACAAATGGCAGTTCCATATTTTAATTTTTTTGAGGAAATTCCATACTGTTTTCCATAGTGGCTGCATCAGTCTGCATTCCCACCAGCGGTGTAGCTGGAGCTCCTTTTTCTCCACATCCTCGCCAGCACTTGTCATTTATTGATGGTAGCCATTCTGACAGGTTGAGGTGATTAATACTTCATTGTGGTTTTAATTTGCATCTCTCTTGATGACTAGTGATTTAGAGCATTTTTTCATGTCTCTTGGACATCTACCTGTCCACTTTGGAGAAGTGTCTATTTAGGTCCTCTGCCCATTTTTTAATTGGATTGTCTGCCTTTTGTTAAGTAATATGATCTCCTGATATGTTTTATATTAACCCCTTTAATTAGAGTGTTCTCCCATACAATAGGCTCCCCTTTTCATTTTGTTGATAGTTTATTTTGCTGCTGTGCAGCTTTTTATTTTGATGTAGTCCCATTTGTTTATTTTCTCCTTTGTTTCCCTGGCCCTAGATGTATGGGCAAAAAAATACTACTGAGAGATTTAAGATTTTGCTGGCTGTTTTCAAGGATTTTTATGGTATCATGACTTACATTTAAGTCTTTTATCCATTTTGAGTTTATTCTTGTGTATGATATAAGTTGGTGGAATAGTTTCATTTTTTTTTTGCATGTACCTGTCCAATTTTATTGAAATACTAGAAACTTGGACACATCACAGTGAGAGAGAATTGGTATCTAAGTAAAGTACTTTACCTGGTTAAGTTTGGTTCATATATATGACAAGTTTTACAAGGAAGTATACATAACTTAATGACTTACTAAGTAAAACAGTAAGTAGTATTCAAAATTCCTTTAAGCCTTAAGAAATTTTCTTTAGTGCGTCTAGAAACAATTCTTACCAAGAATGGCTTGAGTTTTAATTGTAGTCCTATGTGTTTGCATGTATGATACCAATAGGATTGACTCAAATAAATCTTCAAACAATTTTACAAAAAAGAAAAAAAAACAAAACACTTTATTTTCCACAAGGAAGAGCAATAGGAAAAATCAAATCATTTCCCACATATTGTTTTCTTAAAACAGAGCCTACAAGGACATATTCAGCACCAAATAAAAAAGGAAAAAAAATTACAAACAGCCATAGAGTATAATCTATAAAGCAAACATTTAATATTGCACTTTGTTTTGCTAACATTTTGGATTTTTCTTTTCCTAATTGAAAAATCAGGAATCTATCTTGAATACTGGAATACAAATGTGAACCTCACATCTTATGTCAGAAATTGACCAATATTTAGGAAAGAGTAAAGTAATGCCTCTAAATAAAAAAGAAATACTTTAATGGGGAAAACAAAACTTTATTTTATAAAGTTTTATATAATTAGGATTTTATCACATTTTATTTCGTGACCTAGTGCCAATTGCCAGAATATTGGTCATTCTTGCTTTCATGTGTTATTTATGAGTATATGGTGATAAGTATTCCAATACTATGCATATCAACAATTGTTCCCTAGAAGTTAGACATAAAAAAGAAAAGGGATTTTCTGACAACCCCCCTCCCCAAACAAAAATAAAACCACCAAATGCCCTTTATGCCAGATATTCCATTAGCTTTTTTTGAGGGGGACATTCACAAAATGATTTAACAATAATAAAAAAATATTTCACCCCCATTTCCTTATTATCTAGTATTAGTTTGCTACGGGAGCCCAAACCCTTTAACCGAATCACTTAAAACGCGATTCATTTTTACATTGGGCTTTCTTCACCCTGTCAGCTTTTCAAACATGAATTGTCTTCCATGTTTTCTTAAAGGCCACTTATGGAAAAGCCTATTTGTTTTGTATGAAGCTTTAAGACAGTATTAACCAGGTCAAGCACCAAGCCAGAGTTACTATTATTTTCAGTCACCTTAACTGTGGGGTTAAATGGCAGGATAGATGTAACACCCATTTCACACATATGTTGTAACATCAGAGATGCTGATTTTCACTAAAAACACCAGAGCTGAATTCCTTCTAAAGTCAGACAATTTTCTGAGTATACTCAGAAAATGCTGTTTTAAGTATCACCATGAATGCTGGTATATTTGTTATGAGCCAACTGTAAATAATCTTTAATATAAACTATAATTTACTGATGTAATAATTTCCCTATCTTATCTACATATACTCAAAGTCAGTGATTTTTCATGTTTAGCAAAATGTTCTTTAGGTAATGAAAAAAAAGATTTCCATTAAAAAAAAAACACAAAAATATAGAACATTTATTATTCCAGCATATATTCTAGTATTTATAATTTTGAAGGTATATCACTTTTAGAACAGGTTTTCAAGTTTTGTAGATCTTGAGCAGGATTAAAAAATGTATAAACTGAGCTCTCTAATCATAACCTGATATTCCTTCCTGCTCATTAAAATACTCTGCACCAGCAAAAATGATTTCCAACATATGTGTTTGGAGGTAATTAAGTAACTGTATATAAAAATAAGTGTATTTTCTCCTCCTCCTGTGACTGGAAAACTTTCATACTTTTTTAAAACAAAAAAATAACAGTAATTTTTAAGAGCAACAGCCCTTAACTCTTTGCTGGTGCCTGCCATACTGCCTTTCTTTATCCCATTCTTAGCTCTTCTAGTTTCTTCTTATATGTAATGATAAAAAGAAAATGCGGGTGGGTTATCACTTTTGTGTATGTCCCTTTTCCAAATCCCCTCTCCAAAAAGCCAACCAAACAAACGAAAAAGTAACAGTGCAACAAAACACAAAATAGCATTCCAACAGTTTGGCAAGTGATGCGTTCACCTGAGATTAAGTGATTTTAGGCAGTCAGTAACAAAATGCTGCTTTGCTGTAATAGTAGAAAGGCAACAAATTCTTAAAAGAAACCAAGAAGGTATACAATCTTGACCAAGTCTCTTATTAGCTTCCTCCTCTTATCTCTTTTCCCACATATCTGTTGCATATCTACTACAGTAGGCTGCAAAACATACAGCAAGAAGGATTGGCTTGAAGGCATTTGATGTTTGTAAATAAATCCACAATAGGATCCAAGCTGAAGAGGTGATACATGGTCAGCCTAGTAGGACAATTCTGAGCATGTGCATACGCAGGTAAAGTCCAGGCTATATTAAATAAAAAAAAAAATGTCAGTGCGTTTTTTTCATCTTAAAGTTTTTTTCAAAGCTTTCTTTTGTTCCTTGTTGTGCTGATCACAAACAAGTTTTATATGAATATCGAGAGTCTGGCATTAATGGAAAAAAAAAAGCTGTAGTGACATTGAACTGCACAATGTAAGCATTGAGCATGTGCAAATTTTCAAATCAAAAGAAGGAAATCATCCCTCTTTATAACGTGTTGTCTTGACACGTATGACCATAGGCTAAGACGACTGCTCTTGGTATGTGCCAGTTTTAAAGAAGAAAAGCTTAGATCTTCAAGCATGTTGGAGCAGTCCCAGAATGTTGCTATAGGCTTCTAAAGCATGATCACTGGTTGTTTCACGTATTTGCCATTTTTCTGGGCAAAAGCAACTCCACTTCCTCTGAGAACGTGTCTCCAAGATACTTCTCTGTCCTCAGCTGGGAAGAGATACAGTTTGGAATTCACATCAACTTGATTTAACCACATGTTCCTTCAACGCGAGGGGCAGGATGGTCTATCATCTGCTGACTGATCAGGATTTGGATCAATCTTAAAAGAGAAAAAAAATTCAAAGTTATTTGATAAAGTCTAGTAAGAATGTAGCAAATGACTAAGATTTTGAGTATTAGTTGATGAACCTAATTAGAAAGAGCATACGTAGCTAATATGGGAAGGAAAGGGTATTAGTATTATCTAAAGTGCCTGATATGCAATTATTAGATTAATAATAACATTCATAAAAATATGCCTGATTAGTTCTCTTTCACAAAAGCTAATGGTTAAATTTTACCAGTGAATGGAGTTTTACTTAGCACTTACTAGTTACAGGGGTGGGCAAACTTTTTGACTCAGAGCCACACCAACCCACATCTCTCCACCTTGACCCTCATGGCCTCTCCTAATTTAGTTGGTCTAGAACAGGGGTGGGCAAACTTTTTCACTCGAGCGCCACAACGGGTTCTTAAACTGGACCGGAGGGCCGGAACAAAAGCATGGATGGAGTGTTTGTGTGAACTAATATAAATTCAAAGTAAACATCATTACATAAAAGGGTACGGTCATTTTTTTTGTTTTTTTTTAGTTTTATTCATTTCAAATGGGCCAGATCCGGCGGGGCGTAGTTTGCCCACGGCTGTACTAGTACTTAAGACTCAAATACAATGTAAAACATCTCTATAGCAATGATATCCTTTTGTAAAGTATTCCTTTTATACTTTTATAAAAAATCTCTTCTGTAGGCTTTAGGAAGAATGCAGTTGTGTAAACAATATTCTTGGTAACTCTTGGGTATAAAGCTTCAGAAAGGGCCCGGGAATAGTGTACATTAAGAAACAATAACGCTGAACCCACCAGAGATAGAGGGGCTTCCCACCTTTTCTATCTTTGGAGTGACTTTCATATACACGTACGTTTAATAAAAGTGAATGCATTTTTGTTGCTTCTCAGGTATAAAGGAAAGGGCACAGGAAGGCAACTTATTGGGTTTAATACATTTCTTTTACTGAAAGACCTTTTGGATAAGACCTATTTAGGACAAATCCAAAGTGCCTCAAACACTTTAGGCAAAAGCCATTTTTGAAGGAAAAAAGCTAAATAACTTTTCTTTCTTTTAATAACTATCCTTTAAAGAGGAAAAAAAAGTAAAAATAGCTTTTTAAGCTCCCCTCTATGTGACTAGATGTTAATTAAATCACAACATGAACCTATTTAGTGTTTTAAAAGTTTTTAATTCTCTTTGGTTCATTTTTAAAAGGAGGAAGAATTTTATGACTAATTACTTAAAAGTAGATCTTTAGATTGCCATTCTTTTAAAATGCCTGGACAGTGAAGAAGCCTCAGATCCAACGAGAAACAACTGACTTAATAATAAGCAAGACAGAAATGTCTGAAAAAAACGTAGGAACAGAATCTGTAACAAGAGGGAGAACATTTTTAGCATTTAATAGAAAATTTTATGAATAGGAATAGTTGGATAGAAAATTTATGTCTAATCAAGAATTTGCAAAAACAGATTGTGAATATCCTATAATCAATGAATAAAGTGCACGTCATATTGGCTAGATCCAAAAGAAAATTGACTCTTCCAGTCATGATGTTGGAGGGGAACATGAGGAGGACAATTTGGTAAAGAGTGAAACATCCCTTTTATGTCTTATTTGGGAGAGTAACATTTCATTATAAAATAGCTGTTTAAATTACAGTAACCAAAAGGAAAAAGCTAATTGCAGTGATTTACAAAACTATTTGGCATTATATTGGTATCAAGGCTAACTTTAAAGCCCCTCAAAACATGTACTTATATATGTGCATTCTGAAGTATACTGAAATTGCTGCATCCCCCACACCTTTTAGTTACTTGCCTTTGCACACGCTGTTTGTTCTTTTTTTTCACTGGCTGTTTGCTTTCATACCTGAACTACCCTACCTTTTGAGGAGTACTACTTTTAATCATTTTTCTAAGGGAAGCCCCTCAATTCCCAGGGCCCAATACGCTGATTCCAAATGAACTGTACATTTCTTTCTAATTATTATATAATACTTTGCTGCTAAGTTTGTTTTTCCCACTAAGGGCCATATTTTATTAATGTAAGGGCTTAATTGTCATCAATATGAAATGTATAAAAATAATCTAACAGTGTAGAAATGTGGTTTAAAATGTTATTGCTAATATGTTATTTTCCCTCATGGCTGAGAATGTTAAAAAATACAAGAATTAAATTGGAAAAGGATGATAAGATAAATCCTATTAATCAATGCTTGCAAAATGGCAGTTCTATAGATGCTTTAAAATGTAAATTATTCCTTTAACTGGCATTTTGAAAAGCATGATGTGAGATCATTATCTTTATTTCACCAATAGAAGTGAACAGTCCTATTTAGTAAATATTGAAAACCCTAATCTAATCTTTAATCTGTGTTTTTAAATGTTTTTCTAAGTTATCATAATAAAAAACTAACTGTATTTTTAAAAAGTCTGCAATGCAAGACAGCCAGCCCATTTTATACTTGAGGAGTTGATGCTTACCTCTGAATAAAGAGGTGGAGGCAAGAATCGAAACTCCTGGATATATGCGAACAGTGGTCCTTGAAATGCTCTCTCAAAGTCATCACAGGCATTCACTGGAGCAAGATTGTTCCGCCTTTGTTCCTCTGTGACCACTTCTGCATAGCTGGGTGGTGCTGAAGGAAAAAGATACACGCAATTCGAACAGCATGTTCTGATGCATGTCAAAATACACAGAATAGGAGATATTAAAAAGAAATATCAAAGTAAAATAGTAATTATTTGTTGTGTTCAAAACTAGGGAGATTAGGTTTTGAATCTAACATTAGGGACATATATACTCTTAGGTATAGACAAAAGTTTAATCGTAAAATATGAGATTATGTTCTTGAAAATTATAGGAGATTAAAGTTAGATGTATCAAATTACCTTCAGGTCTTTCAGGTAGGGATAATCCAAGCCAGTTCATATTCATGCTACACTGACTGCTTACACTTGAGGTTCTGCTACCAAATGGATGTAGAGGAATGGTACCGATGACAAGAGGCAAATTAAGAAATAAATCCATAGCTCCAGGAATATCCACATATACCTAAAACAGTAAAAGGAGACGCTAGGTTTAGAATGCCACGTATTATTTCCTTTTAAAAAAAACTAATAACCCAGTTCTAATGTTATCTGAGGTCCTCATTTACTTCATTTTTTACTTATATGCATATGATATACAAGAAAAGTTTATCCATATGCATAATAACCTTATAATACATTCACATACATATAAAATTAATAATTACAATGCAAACTATATAAAGACATATTTATTTGTATATATATTATATGGAATACAAATATCAAATCTTGGATATAAGACAAAATGATATCCTTGTGATTTTAAGACTTAAATAAAACCCCTTAAATTTATACATACCATTAGTGAATATTCTACACGGATTATACTACAGTCGAGGATAGATGGAGAAACGGGTGGAATTTTCAGCAACTTGCCATTCCATGTCTCTGTCTTTCCAGATGATAAGGATTCCCCACGCAAGTTAGCCACAAGCTGCTTTACTTCCTTCATTTTCCCTTTGGCATAGAAGGCCTGTGTTTGGTAAATGGCTGCCTTTGGCACCACCATTCGGGAAGAGCAGTTCTCAACCTCAGCAAATATCTGAATTGATTCACCTGGAGAGGGAAAAATGATCTGTTAAGAAAACAAAACAAAACAAACAAAATCCCCAAAACTAATGTAGATTCTTAGGCTAACGCTGGAAAGCTCAGCAGACTACAGGATGAAAAGCTGTCCTAGGAGTGGCAATTAACTTAAGAGTTATAAAAATGAACTACAGTAGCTCTTTAAAAAAGGAGAGGGCCCTGGCCGGGTAAGCTCAGTTGGTTAGAGCATTGCCCCGATATGCCAAGGATGTGGGTTCCATGCCCGGTCAGGGCACATACAAGAAGCAACCAATGAATGCATAAATATGTGGGACAACAAATCGATGTTTCTCTCTTTCTAAAAACAAAAAAAAATCAATAAATGAAAAAATAAAAGTAAAGGAGAGGAAATTTATGAAAGAAAACTGGATAAGCACATCTTATGTTATTTTACCAAAGAATGCTATATCATGTTTGCATTTAGTAGAAACACTATAAATTTAAACATAAAAGCTAAGTGAAAAAAGATTGTTTTTGTGGGATCCACTTCATACGTACCTGGGGTATAGCCCTTCCTTTCGATTTTGGCACTTAAGGATATTGGGCCTGAGGTACAGAACCAGCAACAAAGAGTCTTTTCTTTTGTGCCTGCTTGGGGTGACTGTAAGAAATAAATTTAGACAAAAAGATCAATGTATGAGTTGGGAGAGTAATAAAATGTTTTAAAATACAATCTAAATTCTTGGAGAATTAAAAATTAAAAGCAGTCCTGCTTTTTGTTGGTAGCCATATATATATATATTTAACCAATGGCTCTGAATTATTTTTGTTTTTATATAAGTTTCTATGCAATTAAGAAAAAAGGGTGCAGGGCTTAACACATAAACATCATTTTAGCCCACATTATATATATTAATTAAAAACCCACCCAACAAACAAACAAAAAAACCCTTTCCACATTCCAGTTTATTAAACTACCTTAAATTGTGTAAAAAAGGGAAAACTGCACATTTAAAAAATTCTTATTTGCTTAAAGATGTTATCATTTGTTTAAACCAATTAATGTTTTTGAAGTTAAATTTGAATCTTGTGAAAAAATACAATTAGGAAGGATTTCATTTAAGATGCAATTAAATTTTTTGAAAAAAAGTGATAATCTCCCCATCGTTTGACATCCCTACATTGGAATAATGCAAAGCAATACAAATGATTCATTATGGTATTTTCAAAGTAAGTGATATTATGTTAAAATAATAATTAATACTACTGCTCCTCGTCCACTACAATTATCCAGGGAACAGATTTGTTTTTTGTTACTGCTGTTTCTTCTGAGTAAGAGATATTTCATACCATATGCTAGTCTTTTAACATTTATTTAAGGTTAATTACAGTATCAGGAAATATGATCATATTCTTCATTACTGTGTGTGTTCCCTTGACTATTTTTAAAAATAATTAATTTTTTTTTAAATTTTAAAATAAAGCCACTATTTTAAAATGATAAAATTACAGTTTAATTTAGGTGATTATTCTTTAGTATTGGTATGCCAAAACAAAGAATGAAGAATTCAGTCAATTCTTACCAGTAATGAAGGAGTGTTGATATCTATATGCTCAAAGACTGTAAATTCCTTCTTTAATTTTACTGGTAGAAGCCAAGGCCTGTGCAATTCGGCTTTCACCCAATAGCGCACACTGCCATGTCGGCCTTCGAATGAGGTAGCAAGTGGTCTGTGTAGAATATAAAGGTCAATATATTAATATTACACCTCTTTCTAATAATTACACAGATTATCATAGAAGTGTTAATATATTGTACTGTTTATATATCAGTGAGGTATCAAACATGATTTTTAAAAATTTCCAAAGGGATAAGTCATTGGGGAAAAATCTTGTTTCCAAATAGAACAAATAGCTGGTAAATATTACAGAAATTTTGCTTAAAGAAAGAAGAAGCATACAATCTCTTTAAATAAAGAAGCTACTTTTAATGTTGGTGGCAAAATTATGACAAATTGGAAGTGAATAATTCTTGAATAGGTCAAGAACTTAATTTAAAAATAAAGTTAAGAAAGGTTTAACTATTTCTATTGAGAAATTATAGACACTGGTTAAATATTCAGACCAAATTCCCTACAGTGCTCCACTATTCATTTGCCGGGAATTAGTATCTCTTTTTATAGCAACTAATTAAGAAGGTCTAGAAAAGGCCTAGAACAGTCATTATAGTTTCAGAAATTTCACATTTCATCAAGTCCACTGAAATACTAAAAAAGTTTTATATTTCCCAGTGTCCTCATGCTTCCTTTTGGGCTGTTTTCAAACTTTACCATAGGCTTAAAGAAAAAGAAACATCTCTGCTGACCTGTATCAAGGGAATCAGAACTTGCAATTTTGCCAGTTTTATTTCTTGTGAAAGATTTTATTTTAGTGAGTTTAGTCTCTTTCTCATAATTTCATTAGAAAAATGCCTGGTTTTCAGTTATTGACAAGGCAGAACGCTAACTTAGATTAGAATGAGTAGTTGGATAGAAAACTTATGTCTAATCAAGAATTTGCAAAAGCGGATTGTGAATATCCTATAATCAATGAGTAAAGTGCTTGTCATATTGGCTATCTATTTTAGAGTCTTGCATTAATTTGCCTAGCACAGAGAAATAAAATGCAGTATTTTGCTAGTCTTTTAGAGTTTATTTTAAATGAGTGCTTTACAGATAAGATATAAAATTATGTACATTTGGCACTTGATAAATTTTTCTTGTAAGTTTATCCTCCGAAACAATGATCACAAGTCCCACTTTGCCTGTCAGGATAATCTGTTAAAGGCATTATTTTAAAAACATTGAATAATCTCTCCTAACAATCTTTTACTACATTAAGATTATGCCACTTTTCCATCTCCCTTTCCCGTTAGATCCCAATCCTTATATTAAGGTATCCCTGAAGGATGTCTCCTGCGTGATCTTCTCAATAGCTCTTTGCACAGAAGCTACTGAGCTCGGACCCAAAGCCCATCGCCCCTGGAGTCGGGACGTGCCCAGCGCGCTGGCGGTCTCAGCTCCCCGCTGCTGGTTAACTTTGCAGAAAAGGAAGACCGCACGTTTATAAGTGACTGTGACTTGATGTGTTTTACCTTTTCTGCTAATAACTGATGGTCAACTAGGCACACAGGGCTTAACTATTTACTAGCACCTTCAACTCACTCACGCTAAATGAAATCTTATTCCGGTTTTAAAAACCTCATCGATCGTGAGGCAGAGTACTAAGAATTAAGCTTTGCTTTCTATAATTTTGCCACACTACATCATAAAGTAGCTTTTTCTTAAGCACATTGTTTTCCTCTAGCAAGATTCAGTCATGAAAAGGGTTTTTTTTTTTAACTAAAAACATTTAAACTTAGAATAATTTTAAGTTGAAAAGGGTGGCTGTCTATGAAAAGTGCCTGTTCTTTCTCTTACTTACGTCTGTGGAAGCTCGAAGCTGAACGCGTATTCATGCCGCCCCGAAGGGATGGTGTGGAAGCCGTCCTCGGAGTTGTCGTCATCTGCGGGAGAGAAACACACGGCCCGTCACGAACCGAACCGGCACACGCAGGCGGCGCGTGGAGTCTGAGCACTAATTCCAACCTCACTTCTCCGGGAGAATGAACCCGAGGCTCAGAGGCCTCATCTGCGAAACGGGGGCATCACCCCGACCCCCACGGGCGTCCTCCGGCGGGGAACCCTGGGACTCAGCCGCCTCATCTGTGAAATGGGGGCATCTCCCCGACCCCCACGGGCGTCCTCCGGCGGGGAACCCTGGGCCCGAGACTCGGCCGCCTCATCTGTGATATGGGGGCATCACCCCGACCCCCACGGGCGCCCTCCAGCGGGGAACCCCGAGACTCGGCCGCCTCATCTGTGATATGGGGGCATCACCCCGACCCCCACGGGCGCCCTCCAGCGGGGAACCCCGAGACTCGGCCGCCTCATCTGTGATATGGGGGCATCACCCCGACCCCTACAGGCGCCCTCCAGCGGGAACACGCCCCCCCCCACCCTCTTCCGCTCTGCGCTCAGCTGTGAGCGGCCTTTCCAGCTGTTTTCTTGAATCTATGGTATTAACCATATAAAATGAGAACTGCTCACTACACCGTTAAAAACCAGTCAATATAGATGTGAATGTGACAGCTATAAAGCTATTAGAAAACTTTATTAAATAGATGTTGGCGCTAAAAAAAAGACAGTGATTTTAAATCAGTGTCATAGTTAAAAATACAGTCTTTATTGAACCTAAAATGAGAACCATAATCGGTCTGGTCTGTCCTAGCAACAGCTAAAAACTTGCATATGTATAAAAAAAACCCACAAAAAAACCCCACACGTGCCTCAGACTTAGATGACCTTTCAACCAACACCATCTCCCCGCCCCCCCAACCTGTAGTCTGACCAGGTGGCTGCCAGTTGCTTGAAGAGATGACCTTTCAAGAAACCAATTTCTTTTGGTCAACTAGATTATTTAAAACATGTCTTCAAAAACATATTAACTAAAAAACAAAAACCAACCAACCAAAAAAAAAACAAACCCAAAACCCAAAAAAACCAAACATGAAAAACCCAAAAGCAAAAAAAAGTGAGTAGGGGGATTCTGGATTTTTAAAATGATTCCTTCCTGGTGTTCTAACTAGATTTACAGGATTTTCTCGGTGTAGAAATCTTGATCATTAGCACTTTACCACGAAAGCTGAAGAAATTGTGATCCCTTAACTTTCCCTCACCGAAGTACTGAAGAGACACACGGAGAAGTGACACTTCGCTTATAAAAAGGAAGAATGCGCCTATGTGCGAAGCTTTTATTTTGTACTATTTTCCGCGGCCTGCGGGCGACTCCCCTGAACGGGTCTCAGCACCCAACACCGGCTGGTGACTTGGGGCCCTAAGCCGCGGCCTCGGGGGCACCCAGCGTTCGCCTCCTGCCTTCCCTTCCCTCCGCCCCGCG